CAAAGAAGAAGTCAAACTCTCTTTTCGCAGACAACATGATACTTTATGTGGAAAACCCAAAAGATTCCACCCCCAAATTACTAGAACTCATCCAGCAATTCAGTAATGTGGCAGGATACAAAATCAATGCACAGAAATCAGTTGCTTTCTTATACACTAACAACGCAGCTGTAGAAAGAGAAATTAGAGAAACGATTCCATTTACAATAGCACCAAAAACCATAAGATACCTCGGAATAAACCTAAATAAAGCGGTAAAGGATCTATACTCTAGGAACTACAAAACACTCATGAAAGAAATTGAAGAAGACACAAAAAGATGGAAAAATATTCCATGCTCATGGATCAGAAGAATAAACATTGTTAAAATGTCTATGCTACCCAGAGCAATCTATATCTTCAATGCCATCCCGATCAAAACTCCAATGACATTTTTCAAAGCGCTGGAACAAACAACCCTAAAATTTGTATGGAATCAGAAAAGACCGAATCACCAAGGAAATGTTGAAAAAGAAAACAAAGCTGGGGGCATCACGTTGCCCGATTTCAAGCTACATTACAAAGCTGTGATCACCAAGACAGCATGGTACCGGCACAAAAACAGACATACAGACCAATGGAACAGAATAGAGAACCCAGATATGGACCCTCAACTCTATGGTCAACTAATCTTTGGCAAAACAGGAAAAAACATGCAATGGAAAAAAGTCTCTTCAATAAATGGTGCTGGGAAAATTGGACAGCCACATGCAGAAGAATGAAACTCAACCATTCTAACACCATTCACAAAGATAAACTCAAAGTGGATGAAAGACCTCAATGTGAGACAGGAATCCATCCAAATCCTAGAGGAGAACATAGGCAGTAACCTCTTTGACATCGCCCACAGCAACTTCTTTCAAGATACATCTCCAAAAGCTAGTGAAATAAAAGCAAAAATGAACTTTTGGGACTTTATCAAGATAAAAATCTTCTGCACAGCAAAGGAAACAGTCAACAAAACAAAGAGGCAACCCACAGAATGGGAGAAGATATTTGCAAATGACACTACAGATAAAGGGCTAGTATCCAAGATCTATAAAGAACTTCTCAAACGCAACACCCAAAAAACAAATAATGAAGTCAAAAAGTGGGCAGAAGACATGAAAAGACACTTCTCTGAAGAAGACATACAAATGGCTAACAGAGGGCGCCTGGGTGGCTCAGTTGGTTGAGCGACTGCCTTCGGCTCAGGTCATGATCCTGGAGTCCCGGGATCGAGTCCCACATCGGGCTCCCTGCTCGGCAGGGGGTCTGCTTCTCCCTCTGACCCTCTTCCCTCTCGTGCTCTCTGTCTTTCATTCTCTCTCTCAAATAAATAAATAAAATCTTAAAAAAAAAAAAAAAAAACAAATGGCTAACAGACACATGAAAAAATGTTCATCATCATTAGCCATCAGGGAAATCCAAATCAAAACCACACTGAGATACCACCTTACACCAGTCAGAGTGGCAAAAATGGACAGGGAAAGAAACAACAAATGTTGGAGAGGTTGTGGAGAGAGGGGAACCCTCTTACACTGTTGGTGGGAATGCAAATTGGTACAGTCACTTTGGAAAACAGTGTGGAGGTTCCTCAAAAATTTAAAAATAGACCTACCCTATGACCCAGCAACTGCACTACTGGGTATTTACCCCGAAGACACAGATGTAGTGAAAAGAAGGGCCATATGCACCCCAATGTTCATAGCAGCAATGTCCGCAATAGCCAAACTGTGGAAAGAGCCGAGATGCCCTTCAACAGATGAATGGATAAAGAAGATGTGGTCCATATATACAATGGAATATTACTCAGCCATCAGAAAGGATGAATACCCAACTTTTACATCAACATGGATGGGACTGGAGGAGATTATGCTAAGTAAAATAAGTCAAGCAGAGAACGTCAATTATCATATGGTTTCACTTATTTGTGAAACATAAGGAATGGCATGGAGGACATTAGGAGACTGAAGGGAAAAATGGGGGGGAGGAATTGGAAGGAGAGATGAACCATGAGAGACTATGGACTCTGAGAAACAAACAGGGTTTTAGAGGGGAGGGGGGAGGGGGGATTGGTTAGCCCGGTGATGGGTATTAAGGAGGGCACGTACTGCATGGAGCACTGGGTGTTATACGAAAACAATGGATCGTGAATCACCACATCAAAAACCAATGATGTATTGTATGGTGGCTAACATTAAAAAAAAAAAAAAAAGGAGAAAAATCATATGATCATCTCAATAGGTGCAGAAAAAGCATTTGACAAAATACAACATCTATTCATGATATAAACACTCAACAAATTGGGTATAGAAGGAACACACTTCAATGTAATAAAGGCCATACATGACAGACCCACAGCTAACAACATACTCAACTGTGAAAGGTTTAAAGCTTTCCTTCTACGATCAGAACAAGACAAGGATGCCCACCCTCACCACTTTTACCGAACACAGTACTTGAATTCCTAGCCAGAGCAATTAGGCAAGAAAAATTAAAGGCATCCAAATCAGAAAGGAAAAAGTAAAACTGTATCTGTTTGCTGATGACATGATCTTATATATAGAAAATCCTGAAGACTCCACCAAAAAATTGTTAAAACAAATTCAGTAAAGTTTCAGAATGTGAAACCAACATACAGAAATCAGTTGCATTTCTATACACTAATAACAAAATATCTGAAAAAGAAATTAAAAAAAACCCAATCCTATTTACAATAGCATCAAAATCAATAAAATACTTAGAAATAAATTTAACCAAAGATATAAATGATCTACTCACTGAAAACTAAGACACTGATGAAAAAACTTGAAGAAACACAAAGTGGAAAGATATCCTGTGTTCAAGGATCAGAAGTTAGTATTATTAAAATGTCCACACTATGCAAAGCCATCTATATTTAATCCCTATCAAAACCCCAATGGTATTTTTACAGAAATAGAAAAAACAATCCTAAAATTTGAATGGAACCATAAAAGAGCTAGAATAGCCAAAGCAATCTTGAGAAAGAACAAAACCGGATGGAGGCACCATGCTCCCTGACTTCAAACTTTTAACTATACTACAAAGCTAAAGCAATCAAAACAGTATGCTACCAGCATAAAATCAGAGACACAAGGGAACAGAGTTGAGAACCCAGAAATAAACCCATACAATATGGTCATCTAATATTTGACAAAGGAGCCAAGAATACTCAATGGGGAAAGGATAGTCTCTTCAATAAATGGTGTTGGGAAAACCGGACCCCTCTCTTAACACTATTCACAAAAATTAAAGACTTAAACCTAAGACCTGAAACCATAAAACTCCTGGAAGAATACATAGGTAAAACACTCCTTGAAAGCAGTCTTGGAAATTTTGGTTATGATACCAAAAGCACCAGCAACACAAGCAAAAATCAGCAAGTGGGACTACACTGAACTAAAACGCTTCCGCACAGCAAAAGAAACAACAAATTGAAAAGGCAACTATGGAATGGGTAAAAATATCTGCAAACCATGTACCTGATAAAGGGTTAACATACAACATATATAAGGAATTCATACAATTCAAGAGGAAAAAAATATATAATCCAATTTAAAAATGGACAGAAGACTTGAACTGACATTTTTCCAAAGAAGACATACAAACAGCCAACAGGAACATGAAAAGGTGCTCGACACCACTACTCCTCAGGGACATGCAAATCAAAACCACAATGAGATGTCATCTCACACCTGTTAGGATGGCTATTATAAAAAAGACAAGAGATGACAAATGTTGGCAAGGGTGTGGAGAAAAAGGAAATATTATGCACTGTTGGTGGGAAGGGAAATCGGCAGTTACTATGAAAACCAATATGGAGGTTTCTCAAAATTAATAACAGAACTAGCATGTGATCTAGGAATCCTACTTCTGGGTATATACCTGAAGAAGATGAAATCACTATCTAAAAGAGATATATATGCACTCCTGTGTTCATTGCAGCATTATTCAAAATAGCCAAGATATGGAAACAGCCTAAGTGCCTACTAACAGATAAATGGATAAAGAAAATGTGGTATAAATACACAATACAGTATTATTCAGCCATAAAAAAAAAAAAAGTAATCTTGCCATTTGTGATAATATGAATGGACCTTTAGGGCATTATGCTTTGTGAAATAAGCCAGACAGAGAAAAGACAGTGTATGATCTCACATATGGAATCTAAAAAAGCCAAACTCCTAGAAATAGAAAGTGGAATGGTGGTTGTCAGGGGCTGGACGGGAAGGGGAAATACGAAGATGATGGTCAAAGGGTACAAATTTTCAGTTATAAGATGAATACGTTTGGAGGATCTAATGTACAGCATGGTGACCACACTTAACAATAATGTATCATATACTTAAAAAGAGAAGAAAAAGTAGGGAAGGCCCCCATTAAAATCACCATCTCCACGGCTCTGAGAGTGGAGTGGTTAATAGGCAATTTTTAAAATGGGTTATGTGCTCACAGCACAAAATTCTGAAGATTTTAGGTTCAACTATATGAAACTGCCATTTTTGTAAGTCAACAACGTATCAGCAATTTCATATAATTCAACTTAATACAAAAGAGCTCCAATCTGCAAACTTCTCAGTTTTTCTTTCGTTGGAAATTAGCAGACACACATGGAAACAGACTGAGAAAGGGAGGAAATACCTGGGATATTGGAAAGGGGACACTGCAGACAGCATCACCAACTGTCCCAGTCTGCCTGAGACCTAAGTGTTTCCTGGGACACGGGACTCTGAGTGCTAAAACCAGGAAAAGTCCTGGGCAGATCAGGATGAGCTGGTTACCCTAAATGAAGAGGAAAACTCCAAGAGGGACACGTGATCTACTCTCAGTTCTGGCTGGCTTTGGCTGGGAACAAGCACAAGCATCTTAGAGAGGATTCAAGGTATATATCAAATGAACCATAGGTTTTTTTGTTTTTTTTTTTAAACAAATGCTACTATCCCCTCCTGTCAAGTTACCTGCTGTTTTAGTTGTACTTCTTGCTGTTTCATTTGTTCATATTTGTGCCTCGATTCTGTTGCTTCTTTTAATAACTAGAAAACAGAAACATTCTGGTAAAATACTAATAGTAATTACAAATATGACTATAATGTCAAATGACCAGAGAGACAGTTAGGCTTAATCCTTCCACTCATTATTTTAGCAAGAACTGTAAGTCTATAGATAAAATTTTCGGTTACATCAATTGCTCATTACCTATTATCTTCAATCTGTTCTACTTGTTAACACTCAGGAATGTTGGAACAATCTTTTACTGCTTAGAAAGAGTAACCTGGAGGCCTAATAATAGGTTTACAAAACTCAGGGTTAAATTGTTATGTTTCAGGTGAAAATAATTACAAGTTTGGTATTAGCAGAAATCTAATCTGGAATCTTGACATTATCTAGGTGACTTAGAAAGCCACTTTACTCCTTGAGAGTCAAGATGAGGCAGAGTGAAAGGGTATGGAGCAGAGCAATGAAATCAGAGACCAGTTTCCGATCACTTCTTAAAAAGGGCAGAAGTGGATGAGAGCTTTAATTTATATACTTGGGTTTTCAAGAAAATGATATAGTGAAATTGCATAGTAACACAGACTGTTGAAATTCAGCCCCTGAAGTAAAAGGTCACACGTAGTCCAAATAAGCCCTAAAAAGTCATTAAACCAACTACAAAGTATATATGTGCAATATATGTATATGTGTGTGAATATATGAAATTTATACCTCCACTTTGCAAAGAACTGTTTCTTCAATTATACACAGAATAGCCTTATCAGTTCACACAGAAGATGGTACTGTATGAAAAACAGGTCTCTCTTAAGCCTAGACTCACACTCAGCATGGTAAGTTCACATCATGAGGGCCACTCAGAGTCTTCATACCAGGTTCGCCTCAAGGCCTATGCTACTTGAGTGAAAGCTGGATGAACAGTCCTCATTGCCATAATCATTTCTCACTTTTTTTGGGGGGGGGAGGGTTAAGCACATAAAGTTGAATTTGCATATGTTAAATATACATACCCAATGAGATTCCACTGTATTCACAATTACTGACAGGCAATATAGTCTGAACATACACTCTGGGAACGATGCTGAGTGATTAGGTATAGAGAATTCTGTTAAAGTTTTATCAGAAAATTATACCAGAGTAAGTAGACAAACAGTTTCCCTAGTTTCAAGTTACTTGTTTGTAAACAAAATATCACAGTATATAGGAGACCAGTGTTTGGTAAGCTCGATATTAAACTGAGCTGCCAAATTTAATGTGCTAAATACTGGTATAATTCTTGAACTTGGTGACCATTACCAAAGAAGTGAAATAATTATAAGCATGAAAAAGTCAAATGAGTGCAGGTCTTTCCACTAATTTGGTCTAATCTCTCCAGTGGTCTTCTGTATAAAAAAAGTTAAACAGAAATAAAAAGCCAAATACTTTCTAATACACACATGCCCTTCTCAATCTAGAACAAGAAACCAATTAGCATGACCCAGGCGCTCTATTAATGTAGAATAAGTTTAAGTATTTTAAATGGCTTTGGTTACAATTTTGACAATTTCTTTAAGAAAGAGAACTTACAAACTCTCTCTCTCTTTGATGTTTTTCATCAGCTTCTTTTATTAGCTGTGTCGTCTGTTGAAGCTTGGCATCCACAAGTTGTTGCTGTAATTCCTTATGTTTGAACACTTTATCAATATGCTATGGGAGAAGTAAAATTTCTTACATCACTTAATGAAAAAGGAACACAATGATGAGGAAACAACACAAGTTACAATACCTTGCTTATTCTTAACCCTGCTTTTCCTGCTAATGCCACCATAGCTGAAGACACTGGGTCCACGAGTTTGTAGAAGCGTGAGCTTTACATCACCTTGCGAGCCCTCCTGCACTTGCAGAAAAGGAGCCTTCCCACTACTACCCTGTACCCCCCTCCCTTTTGGAGGTGGGCGGTCAAGGAGCCTCATTAACCACACACTTGTACTTCCTATTTCTGCCCTACAACGAAAATGAGGCTCAAAGTGTATCAAGAAAAAGATGGATAAGGAGATCAAACTGTTAAACCCATACATCAAACACATTAATTCCTGGATATATTTCTCCCCTTTAAATTTCCCCAAATTTCTCAGTTGGAAGCAGCATGCGGTGACAACTGGAGTGGCCCCAGGTCCAATCCTGGCTGGTGTGTGGCCCAGGGCAGATTTTCCCTTGCTGATTCTCACTTCCCTCCTCCAAGCACAGATAACCACACTCGCTGCACAGCTCTAAATGCCAAGGTGGTGGTTCTGCTGTGTAAGGTGCCTGGTACCCAACACATATTAGACATTTGCTAAAATGTCATTATGATTTCCAAACGAAATTGTTAAGTGGTTATTTACCCACAATAAAGTCATCAGAACATCTCGTCTCAGATGTACAGAGTAACTCTTCCTGACCAAAGAACATCTGATAACGTTCAAAATAAGACGGCTCACATATAATTTGATTTGAACATATCTAATTTTCAAGTTTTCTACATCTATCATGTGGCAGACTGTCATATTAAACAAAACTAAAAGAAAAACTTTAAGAAAATTAAGGATTTTATAATCTAATACAAAATTTATTCTCTAGGACAAAAAAGTCCCTTCAATAAATACTCTAAGAAAAAAAAACAGTGAAGAGGAAATCTTCATGTTACAGATTTGAGACCGATCAACCAGTGAAACAGATGGACTTTATTTAGAGCTTGATTCAAATAGCTTCAAAAAAAAAAAAAAAAGGCATGGGGGGACTACAGAAAATTGAACAATGACTCAATATTTAACGTTAAGTAATTACTGTTAATTTTGTTAGGTGTGAAAATGATAGCATGGTTGTGCTTAAAAAGGGATCCTTATCTTTTTGAGGTACACCCTCAAATATACATGAACAGAATGAAATAGGACACCTTGAAGTTATATCAAAATAACCCAGGGCAAGCCGATGGGAATAAAGCTGAAACTATGGTTTCATCTGCTAAAACCAGATGACATATTCTCTCTCTTTTAAGTTTGTAATTCTCCATTAAAAAAAAAAAAAAGGGCAGAAGGCAGAGAGAGTGATTAAGGGGCTCCTGGGTGGCTCAGTTGGTTGAGCGTTCAACTTGTGATTTTGGCTCAGGTCATGATCTCAGGGTCCTGACGCTGGGCTCCGTGCTCACCATGAAGTATACTTGGGATTCTCTCCCTCCCTCTCTCTGCCCCTCCCCCCACCCCACACGCACTCTCAAATAATAAACAATCTTTAAAAAAAAATAAGTTTTTGAAGGGCTGAATGTAGGACTCTAAGTTAGTATGATCTGAAGTTTGCCTTCAAAACTGGATACAATAACCCACAGAGGTGCCAATCTTTTTTTTTTTTTCCTTTAATCAGCTATTTTAACCTACTTGTGTAGGGTTACAACACACATAAAAGCACATTTCCCTAACTTCAAAGGCAGGGGATGCACTGTTTAAAAAGCCTGAGGCCATCAGAAAGGATGAATACCTACCATTTGCAACGACATGGGTGGAACTGGAAGGTATTATGCTAAGTGAAATAAGTCAAGCAGAGAAAGACAATTATATGGTTTCACTCATATGTGGAATATAAGGAATAGCGCAGAGGACCATAGGGGAGGGGAGGGAAAACTGAATGGGAAGAAATCAGAGAGGGAGACAAGCCATGAGAGACTCTGGACGCGGGGAAACAACCTGCGGATTACAGAGGGAGGGGGGTGGGTATTAAGGAGGGCCTGTGTTGTGATGAGCACTGGATGTTATATGCAACTAATGAATCATTGAACATTACATCAAAAACTAACAATGGCTAATTGAAAATAAAACTTTTTAGCATATAAACATATGAAAGAAATAAATTAATGTCATTTTCTTTGACAAAAAAATAAATAAATAAAATAAAAAGCCTGATGCCTCTAATCCTGCCCATTTGGCCTCTAAACAGGAGGAACCTTAAAAAAAACAAACAAAACAAACTAAACAAACAAAAAACAGGCCATCACCTATTTGCTTTTATTTTTTTATTTTTATTTTTTTTAAAGATTATATTTATTTATTTGACAGAGAGAGAGACAGCGAGAGCAGGAACACAAGCAGGGGGAGTGGGAGAGGGAGAAGCAGGCTTCCTGCCAAGCAGGGAGCCCGATGTGGGACTCGATCCCAGGACTCTGGGATCATGACCTGAGCCGAGGGCAGACGCTTAAGAACTGAGCCACCCAGGCGCCCACCTATTTGCTTTTGACACCTCTGAATTTCCTGACTAGATTGAAAAAGTCTTAGTTGGAGGCCAATGACCAAGATCAGCAGGCATGGATCCTTCCAATCAACTTTTTACTTCAACGGGTATGAGAGTTTAGAAATAGGTTCTATTTTTTCCTCTCAAATAGTATAAAACCCTCATTAAAAGAAAAAAATCGAAAACACAGGTATAACACAATGGTAATGTAGACTGTACATGTTATCACAGATGTCTGAATTAGTGCATATTTGGGGGCCAAATATTTATTATTAGTCTAGACAAGGGGAAAAATTTGTATGCTCAAAACTTTAATCTTGTAGTACCACATGGAAGACAAGTAGTACTCAATACACTTCTCTAAGAAATTGCCTCACCCTACCCAAACCCATGGACTCCTCAACTATCTAAGTGATGATCCCCAAGACTCCCATTCTCACGGTGGCTGAAGATTTCCTAAGAAAAACCCAACTTCCATTATGCAGATATAAAAGTTCTAAAACATCCTGTGATGGTAGTTTTACTCTGGTAGTGAATGGTGAAAAATTCTTGCTGATAATGAGAAGCTGTCTAAACCAATAAAATGGCTTTACCTCCTCTCTCAGTGCATACTGTTCAATGAGCTTCTTCAGCTTCTCTCCCAGCTCAATGTTTTCCTGGCGGAGTTTGGCATTGTGTATGTCATGTTGTTCCAGCTGTGCCTGGATTTCATTTAAAGTGATTTGGAAGTGTGCAGTGGCTTCTTTACGTCTTTCTTCCTCCTCTCGTGCCTGCTGCATATTTTCTTCCTTATTATCCAAAATAATTTCTGTTAATGGTATAGACCTATACAGAAGATGCTCATAAAAGCTTCTGCTGCTCCGGGGGTTTATTTATTGCTTCTGACCTCTGATTCCCCTTCCCTTTATTTGTGACCAGAAAGTGCTCATTTAATAAGCAAGCAGCTTTTCTTGAGTAGATAATAAGAGAGGCAAGCTGCCCTGCTGTAAAATGAGGCTACATCCAATCTAAAATTCACCATACTGAAAATTAGTTAAACGGACTACCCTGAAAGACAAGGAGCTTCTCCACGTGGCCAGCTCCCTCCACTGTACGTTCCCGAACACTCTCCGGTTACACAGCGGCATCTTACATCAGCCTGACGAGAGAGACCCTTCTTGCAGCTTACTTTCTGGGTACACCTGACCCCCTAGAAGGCAAGGGACTACTTCCATCACTTGCCAAAGATACAAGTGTTAAAAGACTTTCACGTGTTTAAACAGCTATCCGTCTAATCAAAATGTTGATTTTCTATAGGAAAAAAAATACCACCTACTTTAGTGAATAATTAAATCCAAGGGTTCAAAAGCAAAGAAAAAACTAACAGCTCCCAGAGTAGGTGAAGATCCATTTCCCGAGTGTTCCTGGATTCTAGGACCTTGGGCATCTGCTGTGCTGGGGCAGTTTGATGAGAGAGAGATCCTGCTCAGTCAAAATCATACCAAAACTGTACATGAGGACAGGCCCACCTCCATGTCTCTGGCTCCTTTTCCTTCTTCCCCTGCTGGCACCAGTTCATCTTTGGGTACCTGCTCCCTCTTCCTTTTGTCAGCCATGGCTTAAGTGCTATTCTGAAAGTACTTAGCCACTGGGTACTCAGGGGTAGGCAAGGGTGGTCAGGCCATGTAGCTGGTGAACAGCCCCTACGGAGCTCAGCAGATGTTTTCCCTCCCCAGACTCAGTCTCTGCCTCAAGTCTGTTTCTACTTGGCTCCTCATTCACGTCAGCTTTTCCTACGTGGTCATTAACTACCTCAGTGCTCAGCAGAAAATAGGCAACTCTGAGTTTCCTAAGCCTGGGCTCCAGGCAGATAAGCTGTTGTCTAAATACCAATCTCAATTCGATTCCCCATGACCATATATGAGGTTCATTAAGAACCATCAGGCCAAGCAAAACAGTAGAAAAGTGGTTGCTGTCTCCATGTAGAGACAAAAGATTTACTTCAAATAGGTACAAAGTGATTATAAAACAAGCTAAGTCAGTGTCAGTCCCTCCTGAAAAACAGAAAAGTGAACCAACTAACCTTTAATGTCTTATTGTGACGCTGAAGTTCCCTGCAAAGAGACTCTAGTTTGCTTCTTGCCAAGATAGCCTTGCTGTGTTCACTCTGCAAGTGAACTTTCTCTTTCACAATTTGGGCTTGTTTCTTCTGCAGAATCTTCATTTGCTTCTGAACATTCCTGCTTTCCTCCAGCTAAAATTAATAAGCACTTTACAATCAGGAAGTACAATGAAAACCTTTGAGTTATGGCTGGAGAAATTACACTAAGAACTATGGAACACATTTTCAAAAGCCAAATATTACAGTCTATTTTTTTTTAATTATTTTGTGCCATATTACTCTGCCAACCTTCTCTCTCTTCCAGTTGTGATAGGAAAGTAAGCAAATGTAGGGAAAAAAACAATCCTAATCCATTTTTTTTTTTAAGTAAACTCTACCCCCAAAGTGGGACTCAAACTCATAACCCTGAGATCAAGAGTCACATGCTCTATCGACTGAGCCAGCCAAGCACCCCTTAATCTTTTATTAAAAATTTTGAAAAATGCTGTTTTTGTAAAAACTTTAGAGGCCAACACAATCGAGTTTTACTTTTCTGAAAAACACACACAGGCTACTCTACTGAAATGGTCCTCCAAATTAGAATAAGCAGCACTGGGGCGCCTGGGTGGCTCAGTCAGTCAAGCGTCCGACTCCAGATTCCGGCTCAGGTCATGATCTCTGGGTTGTGACACTGAGCCCCGCACCAGGCTCCATGCTGGGTGTAGAACCTGCTTAAGATTCTCTCTCTCCCTCTCCCTCTGCCCACACTCCCTCCTCAGCTCGGGCACATGCACATGCTCTCTCTTAAAAAAAAAAAAAAAAAAAAAAGAATAAGCACTCAGGGTTCTTTGTGAGAAAGAGGAGTTGCTGCAATTTTAGGTTTGGAGCATATAAGTATATTTCAAAGTTAAATCAGATTAAGACTTACTGACATTTCACAGAAAGCAAGGATGCTGAGTCAATTTCAGGAGCAAGAGTGACACCTTGTGGCCTATCAAAACACACCAAGCATCCTTACATGCCATATGCTTACAGCTATTAGAAACATCCTTACAGAAATTCCTGCAGAAAAAATAGTTTTGTTTTTGTTTCCTACTTTTGCAAAGTAATCCTAGATGACTGTGGGCACAGCACAGCTGCAAGAGGCTTCCAGTCTGTACATACTGTCTGTACTCCACTGAGAGCGGCAACCCCCCTGCCCTCTCGGACTCAAGGTAATCACAATCCTGAATCCCAGGCTCACAATTCCTTTGCTCTTCTATCTCCTTTGTGTGTGGTCCTAAAAGAACCGTTCTGGTTTCAGCTATCTTGACTCTGTTGTGGCTAGTGCAACTGAAGAACTGAATTTTTTCTTTAATTTAAATTGAGCTTAAATAGTCGCATGTAGCTAATGGCTACCATTCTGGACAGCACAGCTGTAGATTATATTGCTAGAACTCATCCAAATCAACTGCACAGATCAACAGCAAACCTTTTCTGTAAAGGGCCAAAAAGTGTTTTAGGCTTTGCAAGCCACATACTCTGTCTGTTGCATCGTTGTCTTTTTTTTAAAACACTTTAAAAATGTAAAACCATTCTTAGCTTGTGGGCAGTACAAACACAGGCCTCGCCAGATTTGGCCCACTGGTTATATGATATCTCACTTAAAAAATATACCACACACAACATACTTTACTGATCCATTCTCAAGTCAATGGGCATTTGGGTTGTTTCCAGACTTGATTACTTAGAATGATATGAACACTGTCTTACGCGTTTCCTGCTATACACATGCAAGAATTTCTCTGGGTGCAAACCTAAGAGTGGGACTGCTAGGCAGTGATTAATGTTCTATTTCACATGACAATGCCAAACTCTTTTCCAGAGTGGCTGGCAAATTTATTCTCCCATCAGCGACTTATAAGAGATCATGTAGATAGATGTACATCCTCTCCAAAACTAAGTACAATCAGAATTCTTAATTTATGCCCCTACAATGGACATAAAATGGCATCTCCTTCTGGTCCAGATCTGCATTTCCCTGATTACTAATAAAGTCACACATCTCTTTATATGTTTATGTACCTTTATGTTAAGGTATTTTTGTATCTTCATGTTTTTCCACTTCTATAAAATGCCTCTTACATGTCTCTTGCCCATTTTTCCGTTGGGTTATTTGTTCTTTTCATATTCATTTGTAGGTGTTCCTTACATATTCTTGAAACTAAATATTCTGTTGGTTGTATTTGTTGGAATATGTTGGGTTTAATTTTTTTTTTTTTTTTAAGAGTTTATTTATTTGACAGAGAGAGACACACAGAGAGAGGGAACACAAGCGGGCGGGGGTGGGAGAGGGAGAAGAAGGCCTCCTGCCAAGCAGGGAGCCCGATGCAGGGCTCGATCCCAGGACCTAGGACCATGACCCGAGCCGAAGGCAGACACTCAACGACTGAGCCACCCAGGCGCCCCTTCTTCCCAGTTTTTTAATGTGACTTCTCACTGTCTTTTGAAGTGTCTTTTGCTGAACAGAAAGTTAATTTCAACACAGCCCATTTTTGCAATCCTTTCTCTGATAGTGCTTTTTGTGTTGTAAGAATTCCTTCCCTTGGAACGCCTGGGTGGCTCAGTCAGTTAAGCGTCTGCTCAGCTCGGGTCGTGATCCCAGGGTCCTGATATCGAGTCCCGCATTGGGCTCCCTGCTCAGTAAGGAGCCTGCTTCTCCCTCTCCCCTCTGCCTGCCACTCTGCCTACTTGTGTTCTGTCAAATAAATAAAATCTTTAAAAAAAAAAAAAGAGAGATCCTTCCCTTGGGGCCCCTGGGTGGCTCAGTCAGTTAAGTGTCAGACTCTTGATACTGGCTCAGGTCACGGTCTCATCAGGTTTGTGAGATGGAGCCCCACATCAGGCTTCGTGCTCGGCGGGGAGTCTGCTTGTGGTTCTCTCTCTTCCTCTCCCCGCCCCCTCCTCTTTCTCTCTAAAATAAATAAATAGGGGCACCTGGGTGGCTCGGTCGTTAAGCGTCTGCCTTCTGCTCAGGTCATGGTCCCAGGGTCCTGGGATCAAGCCCCACATCAGGCTCCCTGCTCAGCACATCAGGCTCCCTGCTCAGTGGGAAGCCTGCTTCACCCTCTCCCGCTCCCCCTGCTTGTGTTTCCTCTCTCGCTGTGTCTCTGTCAAATAAAATCTTTAAACAAACAAAAAACAAAAAAAACCCTTAACCCATGTTTAGAAAAATATTTATTAATATCTAAATAAACCTAAATATCTAAAATAAATTTTTTTTAAGATTTTATTTATTTACTTGACAGAGAGAGACACAGCAAGAGAGGGAACACAAGCAGGGGGAGCGGGAGAGGGAGAAGCAGGCTTCCCGCCGAGCAAGGAGCCTGATGCGGGGACTCGATCCCAGCACCCTGGGATCATGACCTGAGCCAAAGGCAGACGCTTAACCGACTGAGCCACCCAGGCGTCCCTAAAATTTTTAAAGCTTAATTTTTAACATTTAAATCCTTAATCCATTTGGAATTAATCATTGTGTAGTATGATATATAAGAATCTAATTTCTTGGGGCGCCTGGGTGGCTCAGTCGTTAAGCGTCTGCCTTCGGCTCAGGTCATGATCCCAGGGTCCTGGGATCGAGCCCCGCATCGGGCTCCCTGCTCTGTGGGAGGCCTGCTTCTCCCTCTCCCTCTCCCCCCGCTTGTGTTCCCTCTCTTGCTGTATCTCTCTCTGTCAAATAAATAAATAAAATCTTTATAAAAAAAAAAAAAATCTGGGGTGCCTGGGTGGCTCGGTCGTTGGGCGTCTGCCTTCGGCTCAGGTCATGGTCCCAGGGTCCTGGGATTGAGCCCTGCATCGGGCTCCCCGCTCGGCGGGAAGCCTGCTTCTCCCTCTCCCACTCCCCCTGCTTGTGTTCCTCTCTCGCTGTGTCTCTCTCTGTCAAATAAATGAATAAAATCTTTAAAAAAAAAAAAATCTAATTTCTTTCCCATAAGGATATACACTTTATTTATTTAAGTAACTCTACACCCAACATGAGGCTCGAACTCATGACCCCGAGATCAAGAGTTGCATGCTCCATCAATTTAAACAGCCAGGTGCCCCAGGATATACACTTAAGTTCCATTAATTTCATGAGGATGGCAACTCTCCCCCAAATGCACCAAGAGAATCCATGAAATGTTCTTCTAAATCCCCAACTGGTGTTTCTTTCCCCTAATTTTTCCAAGTTGAACCAAAAATTTTACAGAGTAAAGAGCCATGAATAGCCAAGATACTTCTAACAAAAAGAGTAATAAGAATATACACACCTACCCCAGCAGATATCAAGATTTATTATTACACTATAATAATCTACACACGGGATGCCTGGGTGGCTCAGTTGGTTAAGCGTCTGCCTTCAGCTCAGGTCATGATCCCAGGGTCCTGGGATCGAGTCCTACATCGGGCTCCTTGCTCAGCGGGGAGCCTGCTTCTCCCTCTGCCTGCCGCTCTGACAAATAAATAAAATCTTTAAAAATAATAATAATCTGTACAAACTGACTCAGGAATGGGAAAGAACAGCACTATAATATAACAAGTACTTAAGAATCATGTTACAGGGGCACGTGGGTAGCTCAGTTGTTAAGTGTCTGCCTTCGGCTCAGGTCAGGACCCCAGGGTCCTGGGATCGAGCCCCGCATCGGGCTCCCTGCTCCGCGGGAAGCCTGCTTCTCCCTCTCCCACTCCCCCTGCTTGTGTTCCTGCTCTCGCTATCTCTCTCTCTGTCAAATAAATAAATAAAATCTTAAAAACAAAAACAAAAACAAAAAACATGTTACAAACCTAGTACATCCACACTTAGCAAGTGAAATGTGAGGATTTCAAGAACCCATGTTATCTGGTAAACATGGAGGCCACAAGGTCTCCCCAGTGGACAATCCCAGGTACAGTGCAACACGCCATACCACCTGCTCTACAGGACTTCTCTACTTATCCATGCCACAAGCACCAATGAGGTCAGATGATGCGATCACAAAAAGGGCAGAGGGCAGTGATGGCGAAAGGGAAGTTTTCTAAGTAACCCTTAGGAAGAGGCTACTCCATTGATGGTCTCACTGCTCCATAACCTATATACTCTACCTTTTAAAAGACATGAGTGTGGTTTCAAGAAGTAAAGCTTTAGAACATTTTCTGAAGACGGTACACACCTCATCCTTCATACATTCAGCGCAAGTCTAAATCAGAGAGGTTACTACTAGGCAAGTCTTCAATATGTCACACATCCTAAAATGAATGTAGCAATTACTACTGGGACTTAAAAATAACCATACCCACCTCCACACACACACAATAAAAGCCACAAACAAAAACAGTCTAGACCCCTGCTACTTAAAGTGTGATCTAAGGGCTAACAACATCAACATCATCACCTGGGAGCTTATTAAAATACAGACTCTCAGGCCCCAACCCAGACCCAGCGAATCAGAACGTGCCTTTTAACAGAAGTCCCAATGATATGGATGAATCTGAGGACGGCCCTAGGCAACTATTTGCCCTTTCTTCTAATCTATTCGTGGCTGTCTGCCTTGTCACAGTACAGGGTCAAGCAGCTAGCTAATCCTCTACACTGCTTTTGGTCTTTCACTCTTCTCTTCTTTTCCCTTTTTTTTTTTTCGTGTCTTCTTTTTCCACCACTTCTTGCAGGATTCCCATGTGGATGGAACCAATAGGAATGGTCTTCCACAGACAGTGGAAGAGTTCCTTTCCTGAAGCCAGCAATCTGACCAACACTGGGTTTTCTTCCATCTTTTTATCTGTGACTGTTCTAGGCCATTCATACTGACGCACAGGGCTTCCTGCTGCTCTGAATAGAAGGTGCTAGGGTGCTGAATGCCAGCTACGTGGGCGTATACACACACCCCTTTATAAACCAAGGGAGAGTAACTATAATTCTCTGAATAATAAACAGAATTCATTTTTAGAGGTGGCCAATGACAAAAAAATAGTATTTGTGATATGGAATAACTGTTTCAACAACAGATGAAAATGCATAAAAATCGTCAATAATTCACGTAAGTTTTTCACAAAAGGCATTATTTTTAGCATTTATATTACACTTACTCATTCTAAGTTTCCCACAACCCCTACACTTCAAAGGGTTCTAGGACTTCCCCATTCTTCAACCTAAACAGAATGGCAGGGTTTCCATGTTGAGACATCTTTCATAATTTTATTTACTTATTTATTTATTTATTTAAAAGGTTTTATTTATTTGACAGAGAGAAAGACAGCCAGAGAGGGAACACAAGCAGGGGGAGTGGGAGAGGGAAAGGCAGGCTTCCCATTGAGCAGAGAGCCTGATGTGGGGCTCGATCCCAGGACTCTGGGATCATGACCTGAGCCGAAGGCAGACGCTTAACGACTGAGCCACCCAGGCGCCCCATCTTTCATAATTTTAAAAAGAGAATTAATGCTACTTGAAATAACATAGGCCCAGAACAAATGAGGTCAGTTTCTTTAGAAGATGGAAAAAGAAATGCCTGGCACATAGTAGATGTGAAATAAATATTTCCTGAGACAAAGTATTGTTTTAGTAGACTATTTCATCTAACTCACAATTTCAATCACAATGGCTAGAACATTTATCTCTAAAATTCCCTTGGGAAAAGTTAAATACAGGAACTACATCCAGACTAGCATGTACAGCATCACAACAGAGTATTTCTAAGTCAGCCTTTTCATTTCTAAAACTGAGTGTTAGAAAATCTGTGCCATATCTTAGCATTATAATGTCCTATAGGTATCACCTTACAAAATGAAGTCATACAAGCAACAAAAAGCCCCAAGAAATGACGTTCTCCTCTTCAATTTTGGAATATAATGTAATTTTACATCTAAAGCTGTATCAAAGTATTTTAAAAAGCTTATCAAGTACATAAACATTTTGCTGTATTTCATATGAACCTTACTCCCTTGATTTAATACTCACGAGATCAGCATATTTCTTACAGAGAGCTGCCAGCTTCTCTTCTGGAGTTGAAAGGGTGTTTAGGGCTTGCATCAATAATAAAACTTCTTTTCCTGATGATTAATAAGACAAGAGTAAGATCAAGTCTAACCTGTAAATTCTATGTAACACTTACTAGGTTCTGACATCCAGAGTAAAATAATTTGTGCCTGTATCTAGACATAAGAGATTTACCAGCTAAATTAAAGAAAGCTATTTTTAAATTCTGGATTAGCAGGAACCCCTCCCTTCCCACCCCCACCCCAAATTTCTTCATTCACTAATACCACTAGCTATTTGTAAGAACTCTTGCTGAAGGCTTAAAAATTCCCTTGCTTAACCATTGATCCAAGTTAAGACAAATGGTCTTTTTTTTTTTTTTAATATTTTATTTATTTATTTGACAGAGAGAGACACAGCGAGAGAGGGAACACAAACAGGGGGAGTGGGAGAGGGAGAAGCAGGCTTCCCGCAGAGCAGGGAGCCCGATGCGGGGCTCGATCCCAGGACCCTGGGATCATGACCTGAGCCGAAGGCAGACACTTAACGACTGAGCCACCCAGGCGCCCCGACAAATGGTCTTTTAAAATAAGTGATAATATTTTGGGTGCCTGGGTGGCTCAGTTGGTTAAGCGACTGCCTTCGGCTCAGGTCATGATCCTGGAGTCCCGGGATCGAGTCCCACATCAGGCTCCCTGCTCAGCAGGGCGTCTGCTTCTCCCTCTGCCCTCTTCCCTCTTGTGCTGTCTCTCATTCTCTCTCTCTCTCAAATAAATAAATAAAATCTTTTAAAAAATAAAATAAAATAAGTGATACTATTTTACTTCTTAAGGAACCATTTGTATTTTTTAAAATGTTTACTCTTATACATAGGGTATTTCATTTAAAAACATATATTAAAAGGACTTTGGTGGGCGCCTGGGTGGCTCAGTCGGTTAAGCGTCTGCCTTCGGCTCAGGTCATGATCCCAGGGTCCTGGGATCGAGTCCCGCATCGGGCTCCCTGCTCCGCGGGAAGCCTGCTTCTCCCTCTGTTTCTCTCTCTCTCTATCATGAATAAATAAATAAAACCTTTAAAAAAAAAAAAAAAAAGGACTTTGGTATGTGGTATACAGACTGCTATGAAGAAAAAATGCAGGCTGACTTCAAAACAGAACACCTTCCTATCCACACGATATTTCAGTAACAAAACCTCTCAAAGCCCAAGGTCAGTAAGAATTTTAAAAGAGATGACTAAACACATTAAATATGATTAGAAGTAACCATAATGTAACCTGCAATTTTTTTTTTTTTTTTAATTTGAGAGAGAGAGAATGAGACAGAGAGCATGAGAGGGAGGAGGGTCAGAGGGAGAAGCAGACTCCCCGCTGAGCAGGGAGCCCGATGCGGGACTCGATCCCAGGACTCCAGGATCATGACCTGAGTCGAAGGCAGTCGCTTAACCAACTGAGCCACCCAGGCGCCCCTGTAACCTGCAATTTTTAATCAAGATTTTAAAACCCATATTCCATCTGGTTTTTTTTTGAGACACAATTCACATACCATAAAACTCACCCTTTTAACTTAGAAGTGTACAACTGAGTACATTCACAAAGTTGTGCAACAATCACCACTGCTTAATTCCAGAACATTTTCATCACCCCAAAAAGAAACCCCATATCCTTTAGCAGTCCCTCCCTCTTGCTCCCCCACCGGGACCCTGGCAACCACTATGTCACCTTCTGTCTCCACGGACTTGCCAATCCTGAACATTTCATATAAAACAGAATCCTATTACATGGCCTTTTGTGTCTGGTTCCTTTCATTTAGCATGCTTTCAAGGTTCACCCATGTAGGATGTTATCACTACTTCATTACTTTTTATAGCTGAATAATATTTAATTGTATAGATATAATACACATTTTGTTTATCCATTCATCAGTTGATGCATAACTGTTGTTTCAACTTTTTGGCTACTATGAAAAAGGCTGCCATGAATACTCATGTACCCATTTCGGCACCGACATGTGCTTTCAACCCTCCTGGTTACATACCTAGAGGTATCACATGGCAACATTATGTGCAACTTTTTAAAAAATATTAAGTAATCTCTACACCTAATATGGGGCTCAAACACAGCCCCGAGATTAAGAGTCGCATGCTCCTCCAACTGAGCCAGCGAGGCGCCCCATTCTGTGTTACTTAAGACTCCATATCTGCTTTTACACATATAATTGGGGCTGCTGATTTTGAAGAAATAAGTTTGTAAGGAATTAAAATTATTTCTTGTTATTTCTATAAGAATTTTTAGGTTTTCCAAGTTAGTGAAAAATAGATTTAATAAGGATAATTCTGTAGAGAAAACCATACAAATCAAACACTGTTAATCTTAGTATACTAAGTATAAAAAATTTAGGGGCAGGGCACCTGGGTGGCTCAGTCAGTTAAAAGTGTGCTTTCGCTTGGGTCATTATCCCAGGGTCCTGGGATTGAGCCCCACATCAAGCTCATTGCTCAGCAGGGGGCCTGCTTCTCCCTCTCCATCTCCCCCTGCTTGTGCTCACTCTCTCTGTCAAATAATTAAATAAAATTAAGAAAAAATTTAGAGGCAACGAGTAAGGCTAAAATAAAAGAGGATTTCAGATTTCTTAACAAGATTTAACATACTACTTTCTTAGTCCTAAATCTCAAACACAGCAAGAGGAAAAAAAACATACCCTTGAAAGCCAGTCTTTTTTTTTTTTTTTTTTAAAGATTTTATTTATTATTTGACAGAGAGACACAGCAAGAGAGGGAACACAAGCAGGAGGAGTGGGAGAAGGAGAAGCAGGCTTCCCACCAAGCAGGGAGCCCCAATGCGGGACTCGATCCCAGGACCCTGAGATCATGACCTGAGCCGAAGGCAGACGCTTAACAACTGAGCCACCCAGGCGCCCCTTGAAAGCCAGTCTTAACCCACTTTCTGAACTACAGGTAACATCATGTTGTCTCTAAAGTGCTGTGACTAGATTTTAAATAAAACAAGCAAATAAATATAGTTTTCACAGTAAATTTCAAACTACATTAAAGATGCAAACAAGGTAAGTCAAATACTACTTTGCCAAGTTGGCCCCAAATTTTGTCAAGAAAGCCTATTCCTAATTACTCAGAGAAAATGACTTCCTACTCTGCTATCTCTGTCTCCTGCACAAAATGCAGTAAATACACACATTGACCCCACTGAAGACAAGAGATGTATTAGCTAAACATCTACCTCAACACTGGCGACGTTCATAACCACCTGTGCTGCGGAAAACAGAAGTAAAAAGAGCAGCATGTGAAAATGTCCAACCACTGAGGACAGATTATTACCTAAAGTTTTCTCTTTGTTCCTGTTGCATTCTGAATCCTGCTGACCGTCAGGCGGATCTATTCGAGCTTCTCGCCCAGGAATTTCCTCTCTTGACTCTTGTGTGCAGTATGCTGGGCTCATCAAACTCCTGTTCTTTCTAATAAAATCACTGCCTTCATCTTCTTCCAATGAATGCTTGTTACTTGTACCACCACAATTTGAGTCTTGATGTTGAAGAATATCATTTGATTGAGAGTTGTGTAACATATCTGTCTTCACCCCTAACCCACACATTCCAGCTTCTTCCATTGTGCCAATCACAAACTAGAGGGAAAGAGGAAAAGAAAAAATATGGAAAGGGGTTAAGTCAAATGTAATCAATGTTTACATCCAATGATACACCATAGGTTGATAACTTTTTTCTTTCTTAGTGATGTGTAAAACTGATTTAAATATGGTAATTTCTAAGTTTCACAGAGGGGGACATAACTGTAAAGTATAAGAAAATTAAAGTTAAAAAAAATCACATAACTAAGTGGTACCAAAGGAAGTGAGAAACGCCATTTAGGTGTAAATCTAAACTTATTTCCCTAGGGGCGCCTGGGTGGCTCAGTCCGTTAAGTGTCTGCCTTTAGCTAGGGTCGTGATCCCGGGGTCCTGGGATCAAGCCCCATGTCTAGCTCCTTGCTCAGCAGAGTCTGCTTCTCCCTTTCCCTCTGCCCCTCCCCACCACTCGTGTTCTGTCTCTTCCTGTGTTTCAAATAAATAAAATCTTTTAAAAAAATTTTTAAAAAGGGGCACCTGGGTGGCTCAGGTCATGATCCCAGAGTCCTGGGATTGAGCCCGAGTAGGGATCCCTGCTCAGGGTGGAGCCTGCTTCTCCCTCCCCCTCTGCCTCTCCCCCAGCTTGTGCTCTCTCTTGCACTCAACTCATTCTCTCAAATAAATAAAATAAAATCTTTAAAAAAAAGAGAAAGTACTCAAACTTCCTTTAAAAAAAAATAAACTTTTTTCCGTATAAAAATTCACCATTAAAATAATCAGCATCGTGCTCGCTCTGGCAGCACGTATACTAAAATTGAAAATAATCTGCATCTTAGAAATGAAATTATCCCATTAGTGAACATTATTCTGTTCCTGTCCTTGAAGAGATGGTACAGCAGAGATGGCTCACTAGCTATCCAGCAAAAACCCTTGCTCCTCCAATATCCTCTGGAGCTGGCACTGCTGGACAAATGCTCAGCCTGGGACTCCATTTCCCAGCCCCCTGTATCTAAGTGGAACTCCCATGTAAAGTTCCCACCAATGAAATATAAGAAAAAATAATGACTGTCCCTTTTTCAACAGGACTTTCATTGTTAGAAGCATACATTCTTTCCCCACCATTTCTTCCCCATTCTGGCTGAATGCAGACATCTCCTAGACCCTGAGAGACGGCACAGCCACAGGATGAAATAAATAACAGTCTAGGCCCCTAAATCCTGTGTACATACAAAAGAAGGCTGCCCTTCTTACAAAGAACACCCACACTGGACTATTAGATGAGCACAAAAATAAATTTCTCTCACGTTAAGCCATGGAAACTGAGAATAACGTTTTAAGCAACTATCCCTGCCCTAACAAATGTAGATAGTAGCCGTGGGAGTGAAGGCATTATTCTAGTATTTTATTCTCAAATCAATAAAATTTACCTTGCTCTCTCTTCTATTATATTGTTAACCCCATTTATTTATGGGTTCCCCCCCTTAACATATGATGTGGCACAAATTTGAATTCTATACATTCTATACATTCCCTCTCTGTATGAAAGAGGGCCTCTTCCCTTTCTGAATAATACAATTGGAGGGGGGAGGTGTCTAGTATCTTTCTCTTACCACAAGTGGACAAAAACTACTTTCCAAAGTTAATAGGAGAGCAGAGATTCATTATTCCAAGTTGTAAGAGTACTTCCAACTGAAGAACCAAAAATGATTTAAAGTATCGATGTAGCAGGGGAGGCGGAGATTATGACAAGTCCTTATCTTTTACAGCCTAGTGTTGATAATCAGGTACTATGCTTATGGAAGGACAAACTGGTATAACCACTTTGAAAAACGCTTTGACCAATACGGGTATCTTCCAACCCAGTTAATTCTACTCCTAGGATTTTCCCCAAGTGTGTACATATGTGCAGCCAAAGGCCAAGAATGTTTAAAGCAGGGCTATTTGTAATTGCCCCAAAATGGAATCAACCCAAATTTGTACCAACAGAAGAAGGGATACATTGTACTATGCTCATACCATCCAGCAACAAGAACTAACTACTGCTAGATGCAGCGACACAGATGAGTCTCATAGACCAAACACTGTGAGGAAGGTGCCAAGGAATCCATACTGTAGGAAACCACTTATATATAAAGTGCAAAAACAGGCAAGGCTAATCAATTGTGATGGAAATCAACAGAGTGGTTACTTTTGGGGGTAGGGTCTTCTGGGGTGCTTGGTAATATTCTACTTCTTGATCCAGATCGGGTAACATTGATGTTCACTTTATGAAAATTCATTAAGCCTAAACATTTGCAATTCGTGTACTTTATTGAAGTAAAACATATTTCAGAAAAGTTTATTTTAAAAGTTGCAATTTATACATTATTCAAGAGTTAGGAAGAAACAAAACAGAGTATTTTCCTCTGGATAGAAGGTTAGCAATGTGTTGCTTTTTGTAATACTTTTAAAATAATGTGCATGCGGGGTGCCTGGGTGGCTCAGTTGGTTAAGCGACTGCCTTCGGCTCAGGTCATGATCCTGGAGTCCCGGGATCGAGTCCCGCATCGGGCTCCCTGCTCGGCGGGGAGTCTGCTTCTTCCTCTGACCCTCCTCCTTCTCATGCTATCATTCTCTCAATAAATAAATAAAAATCTTTAAAAATAAAATAATGTGCATGCAATACTTTCATTTCTTAAAAAAATTAATGCATTAAGGGGAAATGGGTTGTCTATTTTCAGAGTTACTGTTTGATGCCACACTCTAAGCCTAAAAACTTAGAAATATTGAAAAGACTCTTAAATTCTTTCAAAAACTTTTATTTTTTTAAGATTTTAAAAATTTGAGAGAGAAAGCATGAGAGGGGAGAGTCAGAGGGAGAAGCAGGCTCCCCGCTGAGCCAGGAGCCCAATGTGGGACTCGATCCCAGGACCCTGGGATCATGACCTGAGCCGAAGGCAGACGCTCAACCATCTGAGCCACCCAGGCGCCCAGTCCTTCCAAAAACTTTTAAAACTCACTCCCATATGTAATGCATTCTGTGGAATGAGATTACTCAAGTGTAATCCATAGGTATTAAATTTATAAAATATTCATGATGAAGTTTCAAGAACTTCAAAATAAACATCTTTCATTAAATTTCATTCCTGCAGAAACTTCTTAAAGCCATGAATATGCCCAAATAACATACTACCTACATATTAATCTCAAAGTAAATGCAAAATGACCATTTATTGCTACACTAGACATAGAGCTACTAGTTCCACCTCTACTTTCTCTCAAATACTGAACTGCCATTTACTGTTGGGCACATGGATAATGTTAACAGCCACCCTCTATACAAAAGCAGTACAGAGGAAAAATAATACGTGCTGTTAATATCATCTTTCCCAATTTTTTTTTTCTTAAAGATTTTATTTATTTATTTGAGAGAGAGAATGAGCTAGAGAGAGAGAGCATGAGACGGGAGGGTCAGAGGGAGAAGCAAACTCCCTGCCGAGCAGGGAGCCCGATGCGGGACTCGATCCTGGGACTCCAGGATCATGACCTGAGCTGAAGGCAGTCGCTTAACCAACTGAGCCACCCAGGCGCCCCTCATCTTTCCCAATTTTTAAATTATTTTTTAAAAATTTTATTTTTATTTATTTGGGGGGGTCAAGTTGGGGGGGGGAGCAGCAGAGGGAGGAGGAGAATCCCCACTGAGCAGGAAGCCTGACGCACGGCTTGATTCCAGGACCCCAAGATCATGAGCCGAAGGCAGACGTTTAATCGACTGAGCCACCCGGGTGCCCCTTCCCCAATTTTTAAAAAATAATTTTTAAACCTATCCCCTGAAAACCATTAGTATAAGAATGGGTTCACACAACCACAACATTGGTTTTAAATACTGATGAAAGTCTGTTAAGAAATAATTAAAATGGAAGATTGCTATCTCTAATACATGACAGAATTTCTCAGAAGTGTAATGATGATAAAATCCACATTGTACCAGAAAATGCTTTGTCAAGCCATACCAAAAATATAAAGAGCAAGCAATTTGTTGGAAGAATGGGGAGCCATCATTTAATTAATGAGTAATTTTCACCAAAGAAAACCTGAGGCCTCTCCTAGGATCAATTTTAATAAGAAAGGTATCTGAGAGATGGAATTTGTTAATTTCACATTTTTCAGTTCTATTAGTGCTTCTCATAACCTTTATTGAGATATAATTCACATGTAATTCACCAATTTAAAGTGTGCGATCCACTGGTTTTTAGTATTATTCACAGGGCTGTGCAACCATCACTACAATCAATCTTAGAATACATTTAGCACCTCAAAAAGAAACCCTCCCATTACTCCCAGCCCTGGGCAACTAATGTACTGTGTCTCTACAGATGTGGTTGTTCTGAACAGTTCACATAAACAGAATCAGATAATACGTAGCCTTTTGTGTTTGGCTTCTTTCACATAGCATGATTTCAAGGTTCATCCATGGTGTATAGTATGTATCACTACTTCATTTCTTTTTATTGCCAAATAATATTCCACAATTTGGATATACCATATTTTATTTATCCATTCATCAGTTGATGAGACATTGGATTATTTCCAACTACTGGTTATTATGAATAATTCTGTTATGAACATTAATGTACAAGCCTTTATGTAGACATATGTTTACATTTCTGCAGGGTATATACCTAGAAGTGGAACTGCTGGGTCATATGGTCACTCCATTTAACCTTTTGAGGAACTGTGACACTATTTTCCTAAGTGACTGCACCATTTTATATTCCCACCAGCAGTGTGTTAGGGTTCCAGTATTTATACATTCTCACCAACACGTGTTATTGTCTGTCCTTTTGATAACAGCCACTACAGTGTGAAGGTATCTCATCTAATGAATAATGATGTTGAGAATCTTTTCATATGCTTATTTGGCCATTTGTATACCTCCTCTAGAGAAATGTTTATTCAGATCCTTTGCCCCTTTTTAAACTGGTTATTTGTAATTTTCTTATTGAGTTGTAAGAGTTCTTTATATATGCCAGATACAAGTCCCTTATCAGATACATGATTAGCAAGTATCTTCTATCACG